GAGAACTACCATTGAAACATAGTATTAGCCTTTTCTATTTACTACTCGAAAATTTTTATTTCTCCAACTTATCATTGATAAACTGACTGGATCTAGTTGCTCTACATCTGAGCTCAAACACCTACATATGTAGATACCCATTTATTTTTATCCATTTTCTAAAAAAAGTTTCCTTTCTGTTGAATATCTTTTAAGACTAAAAATTTACTAATATCTCAATTAATGCCGATTTCCCAAAATTCAGACTTACTAAACTAAAAGCACTATTATGTACATTTTAACATTTTCTTTTATTATCTTATTATCCCGCTTATTTTGTATTATGTAAGGATTCCTTCCGTCGTAAGTATTATAGTATTTCCTCATTTTCACTGCTTTTCCAATTTCCTCATTCCATTCATTGTTATATCCAACTTTCGCTAGAATCATCACTACTTTTTTTATCGTAAATATTTTATATCCATTACTCATTTTTTAGGAAAACAGAAGTATTTGAAATATGCTTAAATGCCCATCGTTTTTACTTGCTCATTCACATTCAATAAAAACGAATTTAAAAAATTAAATTACAATTCAATATTTAGATTTACACCTTTGTAAAGTAGTTGAAATGTGCGAAATAAAATGGATGGTTCCTGGTTTTCTTTTTTACATATTTTAAGTATCTTCGTCTATTAATACTCATTTCTCACCGCTTTTATAAATTAGATTGTTTCTGCTGATTACAAGACAATAAAAAATAACAACACAAATATTATTTTTTTGACTTCTATAATGTAAATTGAGGTAGAACAAACAACAAATGGCTGTTTGTCAAATAAATTTGATGAGTTATATGGCATTAAGTTGTAAAATAATTAAACGCAAACGGAATGTTTGTTAAAAAAAATTAGCAAAATTTGTATTACATTTACAATATTAAAAAGTATAAAAAATATGATAAATTTCGAAGGGCAACTTGTTTGGATAAAATTACTATTTCAAAGTAACGTCGTAAACTTATTTTGTAGAAGTAATGAATAATTTACTACCATTATAGATAAAGATCAGCTATTTAACAATTTACTTGAAGTAATCCTATCTGTATATGCGGAAGGAAATACGAATATCCATATTTATATCTTCATAGATTCAAACTCGAAAAAGAAACCTACGAATTATTCTAAAGGTTATGTGATTACCAATTTGTTTATTCCGTGAATACTTCCGCTATAGGAGAGTTGTTTACGGTTTAGGAAGTTGGATTAAATTACCATAAAATATAGGAAATTTATTTTTTAATTTTTAAACATATTTTATTATATAAAAAAATATAAGTTTATTGACAAGGTAGAATAATTACAAATGAAACCATATATTTTGAGATATGAAACACCAAAACAATGCAAGATTTTTCGAATACATCGAACTTTTTGAATGCCACAAAATCACACGGTGAATTTCATTCAGCGAAATTTATACGGAGTTATTTAATCATATCGAATACTTTACGTTTCGATAAAGATGCACCTAATTCAGACAACTTTAGACTGAGTAATCCAATAATGTAATAAGATACACGAAAACTGCATTCCTTATTTAGGTACAGGAAGGAATATTTGAAAAGTAAGATTACTGATATGCCTATACTTAAAATGTATGTATAAATTAAGCGATTAAAAAGCGTACCTAAGTTAGTTAGAAAACGGTTATTTATTAATTCGAACAATCCAACTAAAATGGACAATTTATTTAGTAGTGTACAACTTTGTATTACAGCAAAATGTGGAAGAAAATGTCATTACTTTCAACTATGCAAAATGCGGTTTTTTCACATCAGCGAACCGAGAAAATGATTTCATCATAGCAATAAATAGTCATTTAACGATAATAACAACCATTAAAATATGCTTTCTCTAAAATGCTTGTGTAGAAGGAACCGGGCGAAATTTGACCGAAAATTCAGATTCGCAGTCGATTAGGTTGATTCGTCTTGCGAATAGAAAAGTAAAAGTGGAATCGTAATAAATTGTAGGTCTGTTGAAAAATGTGTAGGTATTCATTCCGTTTGAATATCCAGTTGATAATTATTTTTAAACAGACAATAATAATACAACTTTTCTACTAGTACTAACAGTTACTCAGCACCTAATTAACTTCTTTTCATTTTTATCTAATGTCTTGAACGAAAATTCAAAAACACTAGATATGTACGTACCTACTCGTATATTATATTTATTTAGGAAATTTCATGAGCCACAAGCGTAGAAGACTACAACTACATTTAAATGTCTTTCTTCTTTTCATCTTTAATAGCTACCAAAAAATCCGCACTTTTACTTTCAACTATTGTCTACTAAAATGTGCGCTTGTAATTAATTTATTTCAAAAGAGAAATTATCATTTATAGAATGAACAAGAGGAAATTTCGCTATCATTTCGCATACTAAATTCATCGTTTAGGTAGACTGAAATTAATTGCATTATTGTTAGAGTAAAATTTTATTTAAACTATTGTTCACGTATTTAGCAAAGTCAGTGTTAACTTTGTGAAGGGAAATAATGAAACTTTGTTTTTCAATATGTTTATTTATGTGTGTACAATAATTGGACGATTGGAAATGATAAACTCTCGTACATGAATGCATAAATAGATTGCAGTTTTAATTATAGTCAATTCGCCTAGAACGTTAAACTTTTATATCATTCGTGTTTTATTTTCTAGTCGAAACTATAAAGAGATTCAAACTCAAGGTAACTAGCATTTTTTATGAAATTTTGGCGCCAATAACTGGATACTATAGACTAAATTCGCTACCTCTTTATACATAGTCGTATCAAAAAAGAACTTAAAAAAAAGAAATATTTTTCCACATTTTTTCATTAAGTAACTGCATTTTCCTTTTTGGCTTATTAATTTTCATACCCATTTTAACATGCCTTACATAGCTAAACTAACCAAAATTAGATCAATGTCCATTTTTTTGATTATTTATTATTTTATTAAGCCTGAATTAATATTTTTAAAAAGGTGTCTTGTTATTTTAATAATTTTGCCTTATTATGTAAATGTACATTTTTGAGGATTGTTCCGCTAGGTACGCCTATGCAATGAACCGTAAAATAAATTTTAACTTTACTAAAAACCTTCATTTTCATATTTTATTGTTTTAAGTATTTGTGTGTTCGAGTAGATTAAGTTAAAATTTATAGTAAACATTTGCAATGGAGTGTGATATTTCGATAAACAAGGCGAGGACAAAATTGTTCAGTCAATGGCAGCTCGTACGTGAACCAAATCAAAAACTATAATACTATTTGTTTCCTTTTTTAATCGTTTCCGCCTAAATTTGGGTTAATTTTTGTTTCTTTATTTCATGAAGTTCGATGGCACATATTTTCAAAACATCTTAACTATTTATTGAAATTTTAATTTGTTTTAATGTCATGTATTAGTACATAGTAAAATGTTCAATCACCTTTTTATGGCAGATTGGTTCATATTTTGAATAATAGAAATACACACTCAAGAAAGTTTTGCATAAAAGAATAAATATTTACTAAAACGAAATATTAGTAAAGTTACTTATCAAAATTAGTTTCTTTATCATTTACCAAAATGCATAAAAATCATTTGAAATTAACAATAAAAATAATGTATCAAAAGAAATTTCAAATGATAAATAGCCAGTGGGTATTTTAACTAATTTGCAATACATTTTTGAGTATGTGTATAATCGTGACGAGTACGCCTACAATTAAAAAAACGAATATTTTTATGAGCTTCCATCAAATACTTCTTGATCCTTAAACAAAATCTTAAATTCTTCGTTCAAAGTAAAGAGCAGAAATGCAGATTGAGCCCCGCAATCCCTTAGCTATATGTAAATCCTACATGTTAATAATACCTGTTCGAATGGAAAGGGCATTGAAATAAGGCCTTAATTTAATTTGAAAACAGCTGATTCAAACAAAAACTTAGAAACATGCTAATATCTAAATTATACAAAATAGAGTGGACTTGTATCACTAGTAAACAATAGAACGGCCTTCCAAGTTAACCTTGTGGTACCCATATCATGAACGAATTAATAAACGTAGAATATAAGATATCGTTTTGTAAAAATTTGACAGTGGTGGGTGTCGATACATTTAAAAATAACCGAAAATAATCTATAAAATTCTTAAAATATTAACTTGTATAAATCTTATTAAAATATTGCAGATAAAGAAAATATATTTTAAGTGATAGGTTAGGCAACTAGCTGATAAAAATATTTGATTTTGAGCAATGTAAACAGACCAAAATTTAGCGAACTATTTTAAACCAGTAGGTATAAGTTTGAGGTGCAGCCAAAGTTCATTTCAAAATCATTTTCAAGGATACAATTAGTTGCAACAAAAAAAAACTGACTTGACCACACATGACAAATTCAAATCACTTCTGTACCATTTCACTACCTCAAAAGTGTTTTCCAGTAGCGTAGTTAAAATTTGAAGACAGACGAATTGAAGAATTCTTAGAAATTTTAAATCCTAATGTGAAGATCACTTCATATTTACTGATCAGTTATTTAAATCGAAGTTATTTAAATGAAAGAGATAGACAGTGAGTTCAAATTGATAACAATAAGAAAAAAATTATAAAACTGATTAAAAATATGTTTGGTTGTTTCTATAAAATTTTAACGAATTAAGACAAGGTAAAAATTTATCATCGATTGAGTAAATATTGCCAAAAAGTTCATTCAACTTTGATAACAATGGCTAACAAGCGGGATTGATAAAACCGACACGGATAAATAAATTAATTAGATATTTTAATTTGCAAAACATTGGAAATAATTCTAGCCCGATACTGACTCACGATTAATTCGGGCCATTGCCGAAAATTTCTGGAATGCTTCGACATTTTCGAAAGTCTATTTTCGTCTCTCTAACAACATTCGCCTAAATCCGAAAAAATACAACATTTAAATAACCAACTTCAAAATTTGTTTTTAAGCTATATTTTATTCGGCTACGTTTAGTAGATCTAAACGACATATTCAAAACATCGTAATGCGTGCTCGCTGAAAAAAATATAGTTCAAACAAAATTTTCAGAGGAAAACCAACTTATACATGCGATTAAAATGCAAACACACTTTGAAAACAATTTTATTAGGCATAACGTTCATATTAAAGAATATTACAAAATATATACAAGGTGATTCATTTAAGAACCTAATTCTTAAAATATATTTTAAAATTATATTTCACTTTTTTCTTCTTCATTAAATACATTCACTAGTACCACGTGTTCTCCTCTGAGTAAAATTTGCTCCACGTGTCTAGTACAAACTTCCAATTTTTTGTCTGTTGAATGCTGCGATATTGTTATTTCCGGAAATTGGAATTGCCGTTGAAATTTAGATTTTCTTAGAGATTCAACACCGTCTAAAAAAATCGACGTCTTTTATTGACATGAAAATTGACAGAATCTGAATAACTTTCTTCACCATTTCCATTCCCATGACTATGACATAAAAAGTTACAAAGCCTTACCAAAAGCAGGTACTTTCTTCTTTTTCCTCCTAGTCCACACTTCCGTAACATCCTCCAAGGCCAAGTTAAAATGCTTATCAAACGCGACTACGTAAGCTATGCAGTAACCTCTCGTTTTTTCTTGATTCTTCGTATATACCTGTAATAATACTGAATATAAATATCGCGTAATTAAGCGATCATAATCGATACGAGAAAATAATTAAAAATAAAGCGTGATTCCTGAGCACCTGTAATAAATTTCAAATCGCTCTACTAAGGCAATAGAATATTCAAAAAAATCAAAGTAGATACCAAAAAATATATTACAATATGTTCCTTATTGAACGTATTGGGATTCTCAATATCCTATTTATCGATATGATTAATCACCAGCCATTTAAAATGCGAGATTTTAGTGGGCAGGCACTTTCGCGGCGGTACCGCTGTACGAAATTTGCACAAGTCGAACATAAAAAGAGAAAGACGGAGTAAATACGAAGAATCCTTGACAGAAGGTCCTGACGAGGTCAGGCATAGGCAGGCAAGGTTGCAACGCTTAAAGAACACCGCGGTCAACTGGTGGTACCTTGTGTTACGAATGTCAGATCGACTGCAGAACAGACGATTGGAAATGTTAAAAAAAAAGTGATTGATGTTGAAATAAAGCTTAAGAGGTATAAATAGGCCTTGTTTATTTATTTTTTACTAAGTTGAGAATTTTATTAAATTAAATTATTTATTGCAAATAAACATAATTTACTGCTTTATTAAAATAGCATGCACCTAATGGATGCATATTATCATTCTCTCTTTGATAATATGCACTATCAACGAAACGTTCATCACTATTAGTTACATATAGTTCACGTAGATTGAATAACTTGCAAAAAATATCTACCCTGTTAAATAAAAATCCAGCAACACTAATTTTATAAATAAGGTAACGCGGGAAAATAGTTAATGCCGTCATTAATCACTAATATTTATCGGGTATATCGATTTATTTGTCCATGGCGTTGACCATGAAAGCTGGTGGACCAGATGAAGCGATCAACGCAAGATTTACCTCGAGATTTTTCCGTTTCGCTTGGTTGATAAAACCCACGTCAATCGATCAATGAGAGAAGGAAAATACATTTATTGGTTTGAGATTTTGATAATTTGTATTATGATTTAAAGGTCAGTTAACTTAATACGTAATTACGTAAAAGGCAAGAGAATAACCTTGTTAGTAGCCAGTTCGGTGCGACTTCCTAGTTCGATTAGAATTCTCATTGACTAAATAACATTACAATTTTTTACAGTAGAATTATATACTACATTTATTTGCAGACATAATAAGTTAAAAAATAAATTATCTGTTTATTATGTGATTATGAGTGCGTTTTATTAACAATTTTACGTCTGAAAAGAATTAATAACTTGATTCTCTTTTAATATAAAAAATAATGCAGATAATTCTATTGTATCAAAAGTCACTATAATAAAAACATTAATTTTTTTAATTAAGTCGGAACTAAAAAATAATGATTACAAAAAAATTTACTTTATATGCACATTTTCAAAAATGTTTCCAATTTTTTAAACGTTTCTATTAATGCAAGTTTTTCTTTTTAAAAAATTCGAGTTTTTTTTAATACCTGGTATACGATGACGTTCAGTCCCAACCTGGGCGATTGCATTCGGTAAGAAATCCAATAACCTTCTGACTCTGTTTTCCTTGTTGAGAAATAACTATTTAAATTCTGAATCAACAGAGGTCATCAGAGATTTTTCAATGCCTAGCACCGGTTGCCATTGACGAGGCTCTCTTTGGTGTGTTAGCGAGAGAGAATTTTTTTATTGTCGCGTTTTTATTATGTTTTTATGCGATTTATATGCAAATCGTTGTACCGTTTACGATCGAAATCGACGAGTTGTAACTGTACGTTGTCGAGGAGATTTATTCATTTCGTCTGAATCTCTTCGGTTTCCGTTAAGGAACTACATGGATGATGATGGTTGATTTTTGTTGTCGAAGATGTGAGCTATATCATGCTGGTTTTCTTCATTAAATTAATGAAGTTGTGGCGTGGCGTGGCGCCAACAAGCGCTTCATAATTTATACTTTCATTTTTTTAACTCTTTTGACAACGGTATATCTCTCGAACATCAATTATACACTTTTATTTGTCAAACTGGTACATTGGTATACCTAGATAGAATAGAAAATGCAAGAATGTTTTACTAACATGTTACTATAGTACTATTTTATTAGTGTATTACTAATTACACACCATAATTAGTTTCTTTGTTATCTATTTTATTACTCAAACCAATATGTCTAAACCTTTGTTTTCTGTAATCGATACATTTAAAATTTTAATTAAAATCTTCTCTGGGTAAATGAAAGCAGTCGATGTAAATGCAATAGATAGTAACAAATCCATGACATGGTCTCAAATTTCGCAAAATTTATCGCAAACCGAGCTGGCGCGAGCGCTCGAATTCTCGCCGGCTGTAAAAATGATGTCAAGTATCTGTTTTCTTTCGATATTCACGCCATTTTTCGCGATACAATTCGACAATCACCTACTAACATTGGCCGTGGTACTACTTTTTCAATTGCTCAACGTTAACTTGCATGCGTTTAGATAACATTGCGAAACTTTGCCGTTCGAACAGACCAGATAATTTCAGGGTCCTATGCGTTTGATGATTGCGAGAATTGTTTTTGGAAAAATGTGTTACAAAATTAATAAAGATGAAAAATTTTGCAAACACGCTAAATTATATACCTCGGTATCAACTACGTACTGTTACCATACTACGGTTCCATTTCGAAGGATTTATAAGGATAATTAATTTAGTATAAGACCCCATTAAATACTCGCTTCGATGGAATTGAAGGTGCACACTTAATATTGACCCTGTTCACAAAAATGATCAAAAAGTATAACCTCAGAATTAAATGAATCACTTTAAATTCAGTATTGGTATAGAGACGAATATTACGCGAGTACAAAGCTGATACAAAGCGTACATTGGATAAATACATAATTTGACAGAGATTACGACATTTTGTAAATAAAAGGAATAATATCTGGTGTTACGAAGATAATAACCCTCAAGTTTGAGGCAAAATAAACAAATCGGTTGGTTCAACTCCATCATTTATGGTATTTTTGTATTACATGTGTGATCGAATCATGTTTATATCTTATTAATACGTTGAAAGAAGTGCTTATAAAAGATTTCCATAACTTGTTTTGCTTACTTACTTTTATTCTTAATTTTTCCTCTACACATTTTCGTAACAATGCTAATGGTCCAGTCGTATTTTCCATTTTGGTGAATATATTTCGTGAATATTTTGTCTTTTTCCGAGAGGCAGTGGGTACTGCAAAAATGAAAAAATAATAATAAATAAAAGTACAAATAAAATCTATAATTTGTAAGATCGGTATCTCCTGTGTAATTTTTACTAATTCTTTACGACCAAAAAATTACACACTATATTACATTATAATACATTAAGATAGTACGTATATATTTTATGTACAGGGATGTCTAGCGTAAAAACCGACATAAGAGCAGAGGAGTGTAGGGAAGCCGAAAATATGTTGTTTACCCAACTTAACACAGCAAACTTCTGAATTATCGACGATTTTAAACGGAGAACGATCAGAACATCAAGAAAACATCAAAACGAGAATGGATTTTAAAAACCAAAAATAAAGAATTTTAAAATAAATTGCCTATGAAATGAACTAATCATTTTTTAAATCATCCATCAGGTAAAAAATCTGTCACATTTTAAGGAAGCATCACGAAAAGCCAAGGTCATTTAAATCATATTATATTAATACGAGATAACTCGTACTCGACGTCCTGGGCAAGAACGCAACGACGAGTTATCTCGTTGTTGGCAGTCAACGGGTTAAGTGGTTTTAAGTTTGAGTATTACCGAGATATTATTTTCTTTAATTTGTAACTCCACTTTGAAGATTACTTTATACTTGTACTTTAAATTGTAACTTTGTATTAAGTTAAGTTGGTTAAAACAACATATTTTGCGTTCTCCTATACGTCCCTGCTTTGTGTCGGTTCTTATGCGGGACACCCTGTATGAACACGTATTATAAAAAATAAAAAATGTAAATTATTCACAAATTAAAATGAAATTTTCCATACCTTTATTACCAGTAGAGCTACTTTATGTGGGTTTGTTTTAACCTTGGTATTAATAATATTTTACAGCAAATAGTTTAATATTTATTAAGTTTTTGTCAATTGTCAATATTCATTAATCAAGAAATTTTCGATCGTGATATGCTTGGTGACAAAAATAACATTAATCTTCGTCACAAGAACTATTTAGTAACGGGTGGGGTGTAAAGTACCGCTCATTAAAATGTGTAATTACTTAAACGTTTGCAATTTAGAAGGAGAAAAAAGTTAATGAATTATTCGAATAATTATAATCGGAAATAGTCACATTAATTGTATAAATTAATACAGACTAAGAATTATATGTATATCTATGTATATCTAATAATTGTACTAATTGTAAGTGTATTAGATATAGTGTGAACAGATTTAAATACAGACGGTGATGATATATTCAATAATAAATTGTCGAAGAAATTAGGCCATTAGAACTTATTTATAAACAAAATTCAAACAATCATAAAATAATTTCGGAAAATCATATTTTAAAAGTTCATCCAGGCATTCCAAGATTCGAATGAATCCACCGATAGATCATGCGAGAAATGCGGTAAAAAGTGAACATCTGCTAAATCGGTCTTCTAATTCCTCAACAATTGCATAGTGCATTACGAATGATAAAGTCATAGGTAATTGTTTCAATTTAGTACGTACCATGTAGGTATTTACCTATCCAATAAAACAAACTTTTTTTTTTAAATCATGAAGTAAAGGAAATATTTCAATAATAAATGAAGACAGTGGAATCTTATTATTTTGAAGGTATAGGTTCTTAGAGATACTAAAGGGTTACAATAAGTTTAATTGCACATGGAATCGTTATCATTTAAATCACATAATTTGATTGGTTGACGACTAAAATCTTTGATTTTATTGGTTTTATTCAATTATTATGGAACCAATTAAGAATTACTGTGTGAGATTCATTCTCCCCAATTATAGACCAAAGTGCAAAGTGTAATTTTTCACAGCTGCTTCAAAGTGTGCATGATTTTTAAACAACTATCTCCAAAACCATATTTCGACAACACATAATATTTAAATATGAAATTCTAATATTACTTATTCGTTTATGAATTTATTGATGGATGTGTAATTGTGGGAGTGCGTGGATTCCAGACGTACATTCAAACAAGACATTGAGAAGTCATTGACAGGCCATTTAAATTTAGACGTTAGAAAAGAGACTAGATATTAATGTTTTGCGTGTACTCTACATAATGCGTCACTCAAATCGTTCGAGAGCAACGCCCTGCGTGCAGTTCATCTCATCTCTCATACAACAGCACGATTTCAGACTTGGCATGGCCCAAACTATTATCGCTCGCTCCACTCACCGGACTCGCGGCTTATGTAATTTTCGATATGTCTTTTCTTTCTTCGCTACTCGCATTATGTCATTTCTTTAGACTTGTTTGTATCTTCGCACTTGTTGGTGGTCCCGGCTGATTAATGGTACGTCTACGCCGGTAAACGGTAGGAGGAGATGCACATGGCGTTAACTTGTAAAGATTATTTTTCAAATTCAAATTTTCAAATCATTCATATTATTTATTATTTTAATTAGGAAATAGTGCGATATTGTTTGTAGATATTTAGTTTTATTTGGATTTAAATAATTTGCAAAACAAATTTAGTTATATGCGTAGAAGTTAAATTAATTTTAAACAAAAAGTCCTTTTAATTAAATTCAAATTATAGAATATGATCCCGATTCGATTTATAAGTTTAATTTAAAATCCAATCGATAATATAAACTACATATGTTTTTAGTTAAACCATATAGACATACTTGTGATTAGTTTTCGTTTATATTTTCATTGAAATTGAAACCAGTATTAAAATTGTGCTCTTATTGCTCTACAGTATTTACAGAGTAAGCACAGATCCAACAGTAACGAGTAGATTTAAATAAACTGCTCCACAAAAGTTAGGGAAGTTTGCAAATTTTGCGATTATTTTAAAAGTTACAGACTTTTTGATCACCAAATTTTCAAATATGCGAAATTAAATGTTTTCTCTCATACCTGAGTGAATTTTTTGTCCCTACCTCTACAACTCATACTAAATTTGGCGATCAAAAAACCTGCAACTTTTAAATTAATCTCAATATTTGTAAACTTCCTTAACTTTTGTGGAGCAGTATATTTAAAATGTACTGCCTATTTACAAGAATGCGTATCTTACAAGAATATATTAATTTAAATTAAAATCGGTCAGATGTTAAATAAGATGTTAAATTTTTAAAGTGCAAATACACAAATTCGGTTATATTAAATATACAAACACAAAATATCGGGTTATTTCCTATGTTATTTACAAATATGTTATGAATTGACAAATAATCTAGGGAAATCCGCCTAGATAACAGCATTAATAAGCCTATATTATTTTTTTTAATACATAAAAATCGGCTACCATATTGTGCCTTAAATGTGGGTTGTAGATGATACGAACCATAAAAAAATAACAGCCGAAAGTTACTACTCATTTTTATGAAAAGGTCATTATTTCCTCTCATATCTCCAAGATAACAAAGTTATATTGGGTTATGAAGCACCCTAATATATTAAAATTCAAGTATATATTATGGAGAATTATTACAGTGATAAAGTGCCCATTCGAAGCAAATTGGCTAACATAAATAGTTCACCTTCCGCCGGATCTGTTCCAAGCTTTAAAATTCTAATCAACATTGCGTGAACTCGTTATCGACGCAAACGTGAGATAAACCATAAAAAAATCTAATCTTTTAGGTGCTTACTTTTTAATCAGTAAATGTTTTGCCCTGGTAAAAGCACCGCGATTCATGTGCCCGGCATAGGTATAATACATGTATGTGTATGTATACAACAAACACGCATCTAGGCAGGCTCTCTAGCCAACTAGCAACATTGGCCGTGTGGGTCAGTGACCTCCTAGGCGAAGTTCGCACATATCTACTCACGTAGCATCGACGGTTTGGTAGCATTAAAAGGTTTTAAGCCAAACCAAATAGCTAGACATGTCTAGATAATATAACAATGCTAACATAAAGAATTCCTGACGATCATGTCGTGAATTAGGGTTTCCTGCAAATTCATTGATAAATTTTGTGAAACATATCTTATACAGTAAATTCTGATTAAATCGAGTTTATTATACTATTATAATATACGGAATTGATTCTTTATTAAATTTGTTTATTGTATCTAAACAAATATGACTTCTAGTCAATAAATAATATTTGACAAGTTAGTACTTATCTAGAGTACACATATTTGACTCAAAAATACTATTTAATAAATAAATATTTATGAAATAAATAAACTAATATGTAAGCAATAAATACAAACTACATAATTAACACAAAATGAATTAGTTGACACTCAAATATCTGGTCATGTATTGTGTGGAATAATTGATTTATGTTATGCGGTTTCGCACGAACTTTACTGCCGTGGGAAATTTAGCTAATTTTCAAATAGCACCTTTTGTGGTAGAGCAATCCCTTTATAAACCCTTTCATGTTCTGCGGTTCTGCGTATCTCCTGGTATTAATAAAGTTAATTGGGAATTTTATTTAATCGTTACCTAAAATATGTATTAAAATATCTATTGAAATTATTGCGAGACGTAATATAAGTATTTATTTGGCCGTTGTCCAATTACCTGCATGCCTCTTGCACATGCAATATTAATAACGTAGTTAGGCAGATTCAAAAAAAAATGTGTAATCGAAGACAGCTAAATAGGAAAGAATAACAAAGATAATAATTTAGAAACAAAAAAATGATTAACATTACCCAAAATTGTAAGTTAAGTTCTTCAACATTCAATGATTAACCCAACATGTGACTTTGTGAGGTTATGTTAGGTACTTTGCAGTGGTAATTTATTAAAGTAGTTTTACTTGTATTTAGATATTTAAAAATACTTACACTGATGTGGTAACCACTTCCTTTCTACCGGCACTGCAGATTTAGATGCTTTTTCCTTCCTATTCTCATTTTGTTCGGGATTTTTCTGCTTATTCATAGCAGAAGTGAAGGCGGCTAAATTATCATACCTTTTAGCATTGGGAACTGGGACACTAACCGAGGGAGTATTTAATGCTAACAACGGATCAAATTCTGCACTATAAAAGTCCAATTTTGGATTATATTCTTTCTTATTTACATTAGGTTCTTGTTTATCATCCGACATTTTTAGAACTGTCATTGTCAGTTGTCAGTAACGTCAGTGAAAGAAAATTTGATACTAGTAGTGACATCTATGAATGTATTCCGTAATGTACGCTTTTTAAATATAAAATAAATCATTAACGGTGCTCTTTGATTTTTTTAGGGTATATGAACATTTATAAAAACTTAATTTTATTTTAGTTAATGTTGTATAATTAGAATCGATATTTTTGTATACTGTATGTACTTTTTGGATGTAAATTATTTCTTATCTACTTTAAAAAATAGTTTTTTCGGAATTGTTACGAAATTATAACTTTCTGCCAACAACGTTTCATCTAACTAAAAAATAATTTTTAAGCGTTTCAATTAAAAAATTTCACTTTCATAGCGACCATATTGTATGCGTGTGCAATTATTGTGTAATATTATGAATCAATTTCATTTAATTGTGTAATAATGCGGGATCTCAAGCGAGAAAATGTGCTTTAACGTGAAAGCAAGAGAAATGATTTCGTTGATTATAACATAAATATACTTTCTATTTCTAAATTATTGAATAAAATCTCATTTTCATTTAGATACACGAGCTCAACGTATAATTTATACTTATAAGTTATTTAAAATGGTAATTTCATCGATTACGTGTTTAGGTATTTAAGAGTTTTAATACATTAATTTGTTATTAAAAGACGCTTGTATGGAGATACTTAGGGATAAGTGCATAATATTAAAATTTCTTTAAGAAATTAGATTACTTAACGACTAAAAGAATGTAGGTAATTCGATTCAAGAATTTTTACAAAATATTTCGAATTTAATATTCAGGAAATTAATAAAAGTTGTTTACCATTTTTTATAATTAGCGGTTATTAAGTTTCAGATGTCCATTTAGGAGGTATTAATTATCTTTATTAGATGTTTAAAAAATTGAGATAATTAGGATTTATTCTAGTTTTGGATAGGTTCAAAGTTCATTGGCTATTTACAATTTTCTTCCATTCCATTAACCCTATTTAAATGTTTTACAAAAGGTTTTACAAAGGTTTTACAAAGGTTTTACAAAACTCGATAATCATATTTCTAAAATCATTGAAACAACCTTTGGTTAACGTTAGGAAATTTGGAATTTCGATTTCATCAAAATTTACCAACTCGCATGTTACTATACCGCATGTTACTCGCATGTTACTATACCGCGAGATTATTGACCTAGGACATGACCACTCTCTTGTTGAATCCATTTCTAAATTTTCTTGAATAGCATTTCACATATCTCTTCGACATGCTACCTCCTACCGTTTGTAGTTTGTACTTCCTTCTATACAACTCGGTTGTCGTACTTTCTCTGATGACCTCGGGAGAAATGAACTTTTCGGTTTTAATTAGACTAGTGAAAGTGACGTAACTGATGGTAATAAATGATTTAAGTCAGGTACGGGTTTACGGATCAATACGAATAACAGCGCGTTTTCCATAAGGCTACCGGAAGCAAATTCTGCGAAATCGTTATTGCATTTATTTATTTTTTCTTCCGGTTTTTTATTACTTTTTATAAATATTTCAATAAAGTTTATTTTTAAAGTTACCAACAATACTTGATTAAATATTGCCAAACAATTGACTCACTTTCTTTCATAATGCCTTATGATTTAATTTGGTTTATTTTATTACAGATTTAAAGAAAATCGAAGTTCATGTTTCGGAAACGGTTTAAAATTCACCGCGACATTTCGAGGTAAGCAGACATATTAAAAACTAAATTCACCACCAATTTACACCAATTCGCAAATTAGAATTCCGCTTTATCTGTTATTAAAGTTCTTTTACTTTTTTTTTAGATCTCTTTTAATAGTCCATTGGGAACCAAAAATAGGGTAGCAGGAGATAAGATTATTGACCCAGGGGCAGGAGGCACACGCCGCTGTGGAGGGGGTGCACGCCCTAGGGGGCCTAGAGACGCCAATGTCTTTGGCGATGCCATTTATCGACAACGACTTACTATGGAGTTCTGATCACGATGGGAAAATGGTGGATATATCTTCTTGCTTACAAGTATGTTAAATCATCTATTAGATACCTACCTATAATTCTCTAACAATATCCACTATATACCCATAAAGAAATGTTGGTCCATTCATACAAGAAAAAATAGAGAAAAACTAATGCTGTTTACTTTAAATTGTTTAATATCTTTATAAAGATTATAGATAACTGCAGTTGATGAAGGCGTTCTCACATAAAAAAGGGCAAGTAAACTTTGATCAATGGACCTTGACAACCTGAGTGAAATAGATGAAGTACTCACGGGGAATTCAGAAAACACTTGATTATACCAAATCAAAATATTAGAGCAGATAACATAACTTCATTGCGAAGAGGCTTTAAAAGGATAGCATAAATCTGGGGAAGGTTATTTTTCATCCCAAAGATCTAGACACAACAAGGGCGTTAGAACGCACAAGGTTCACACTTTCATCTGACAGAAACAATGGGTGCGTTCAGGGAACGCAACTGTTGGCAACTGTTGTCAATAGTTGCCTGCAGCGGTTCCCTGAACTACAACGCTAAGCTCCTGTTGACTGGCAACAGTCGCAGTTCGAGTCAGCGTCAATTTTATTCGCTTCTATGTGCAGCATAAACAACACTAATGCACCGTTCAGAGGATACTCAACTGTTGACAGGTATCGGACTCAACATACTGACTGCTACTTCTCAACGGTTATTTTCCCTGAACGCGCCCAATGACCTTGCTACAGCGGGAAAACTACAGACGATGCTAATGATGCTATTATATCTAGGTGGTTATGATTCTGAAATGACTTGCCGGCAAACAACAACAACAACATATACACATACCTACAAAGTTGCATGCGATATGGTCTATGGAAGCAACAAAAATAACTTCCATTAGTCTCAGATAAAGGAATATGAAAGAGTGATATTATGGGATTGTAACTTTCTCACTCTAACAGCTGCTATTTTAATAACCTTCCTTAGTTTAACTCATAGAATTGACCACAATTGTAAACAAATTTACACTTACGAATGTGCATAGTAACATATTGTCCTGGAAAAATTAAATAACGATTTAGAATGAACAGTATAATTTTTTCTACTTCATCTCCTTAGCAATTTAACAAATAGGCCAATGAATGTAGTAGGCCCATATTAAACTTAATTATCCATATTTTAGGATGCCTCTGTCGCCACTGGTCAACAAAACACAGCTACAGGAGCTTCAGGTGGCCTGGGTGAACTCTCTCAATCCGATCTCAGTTCTTTGGTGCCTCATATGCAAGAACCTAGTATAGCCGATAACGACGACATTTTCAGGCACTTATCAGATACCACTGCCATCGAAATAGAAAGTATTTTAAGCGAATTCAGTCAAACCCCTTTCATTAAGGTTAGTACCAATCAAGCAATTTAGGTCAAACATTGCTTAAAATGTCTCAATGTACAATCAAAAAGCAATTATAAACTTGTTACTTTTTATATTTATAAAAGATAAAGTTCCTGAAGTTTGGCTAATCTCCGCCAATGAATGGTTCAGAAGTTGTAAAACTGGTTGCATACATCACACATTACAGTTTTCTGTAACCACACATCTACCGCCATCTATCGGCTTTAGTGAGAATTTCACAGTGCTCTTTGATTTTAGCAAGAAGAAAACAACAATGCGCCGTCGGGAGGCAATGAAGACTCCGATCCTAATTCTCCCGCCGATCACAAAGTCACGCAAGCGCTGCACGAGATGCGAAAATACACCATTGCTGCGGCGAATCCGATTCTTGCGGAGAAGCTTTCTACGCCGAGCGAACAGAATTTGACACAACTAGGAGCTGTTAGTAACGAACTACGTTCACAGGTGGCGCCACTTACACCGAAAATTGAGAAAGGTAGGTAGTATAACACAGGGAGCTTTTGGTTTTATTAGATAGTTATTTGATAATTTGGAAATAATTGGGAAATGAAAAATGAGAATCAGTAGAATGTTAAATGTGGAGAGAAGTAAATTTGGAAATTTTAGTGAGCAACGTTTTGCTCCGATTAGTTTGCGTATCATAGGTCTGTAAATTATGTACACATTTTTGATAACATTTTCATTTTACTGTATTCAACATGCAAAATTTATTTTTGCCCCTGAATTTTAAGAAATGTAAAATTTGAACTTCGGCTATATTTTAACCTTAAGTGAACGGTTTTTCTATCAAATTTTATTAGACGCTTTATATTTTATAACCCCTTAAAACATTTATTACGTACATTACGTTTCAAGTCTAATTTAACCGAACATCACATGCCGTTCTGTCGTTAAACTCGGATGCAACAAGACATGTGTTTCTAGTTAAAATGTTAAAAACCCATAAGTCGACCCATAATTGTAAATGAATGAAAAAGGATGTAAACTCGAGGGGATGGTTGACCTTCTTTGATTCAAATCACACGCCTCGACTCGCAGGGAATGCCTATATTATGTGTAAAAAAAAGACATAATTTAGCGCCGTTTTAAAAAGCGATTAAATTTGTCGCTACATTTAGTAGGGGGTTGGAAATGCCTGTGTGGGTTGGGGGGAGGGTAGTTTCACCAGGCGTGGATGCACTTTGTAAATTAATTCTCATTCGATCGAATTAACGCAGCATCTGAAAAAAAATAGCATAAAAGAAAGTAATTTTGTAGAGACTATGAGGAAAGTGCATTATTGCTACTGAAATTAGATTTCCTTTTCGCTTTTGTGTGAATAATGTGACAATAAACGCATACTCGCTTCGGAGAAACGCATTCTTCAGTATCTATGTGAATTATTCTCACAGTTTCAATCTCCATGAGTAGAATAATCGCAAGAGTTTGATCGAGAATGAAATCGTTTCAATTTTTTGTATCACCTACACACTGAATTTGTAACAAAATTTAGATAAACAATAGCCATACATATAGGGTATTAATTAATTGAGTGCCGATACTTTAGGATGTCAATATTTGGGTGGTTTTAAGAAGAAAAGTTTATATCAATATATGTCCTAAACCTCTTAGTTTTTGAGCTATAGGGTGATACAGTTTTAGAAAAAAAATCTAAACTAAACTTTTATATCATAATTTTCTTATTACTCCAGATATTTTTTATAAAATTTAGTACACACTTTTTAATTATTAAGTAGCATTTTTTGAGGCAAAAGATTTTTTTAAATTTTTAGCGGCGACGTCCGTACGGGGTTAGAACTGAATATGTTTGAAGAAAAAATGGCACGCCACTGCTTTTTCTAAAAATCATAGTTATATTTAAAATCTTCATTTATTTTGGAGAAAATTCGGTCTGAAGACTTACTTTCGTACGACGCACCATTTTCGCGTAAAAAAAATAAAAACCGAAAAAAATTTATCCCAAGTTCATTGAGACTGCTTTTGATATTTTGTTGAAATCAAATAGGCACCCACCATGCATGGAAACGTTTTTTTTTGGGAGATTATAATTAATTTTCTACTATTACCATTGATGTCCACGTCCGAATATAGAGGAAATACATATTATTTTAAACCCTCGATTACTCCGCTTAGTAACAAATCGTGCTCTTTCAAATCGAACAATGAAGCAAGAGTAATTGTTTGTTTCATCCTTTTATTCTTAATTTAACCGGGTATCGAGCAAATTGCCGTACGAGGAGCCGTTAAAGCTATTTGGCAAGCAGAAGATCGAACCGTTTTAGTAAAAATTTATAATTATTCGACGTTAGGAAACATCTAATGAGTTAAATAGTCTCGACACAGTTTCGCTATTCGACCTATTGGCATTTGCAAATCATTTAAGATTGCTAGATTTTAAATTTAAGAAATAACAATTAATCGATAATAAAATTGCATCGAACAACTTTTACTGGAGATTTACGATTTTGTTTTTTATTAACTATTTATTAAGGAAACAAGGTGCTAAAATATAAGAGTCACAAACAATATTCCTAATATCAATTTTTCTTCTATTTAAGGTCATGTACTATCGTAGTAATACTGAATAATATGAGTAAATTGCGAGTAAATTTTACTAACAAATTCTTTATTCATATAAAAGTTTCGTCGAGTTTTTGTTTCGGTTTCGGTATTTATTTTTAGTAATTATGACGCGCTGCAATGGGCACGTTGTATAAGTAATGTTTTTTCCTGTCTGGCTTTCTGATAATGTCGTCAAAAAAATTTACAGCCCCATGAATTATTTAAGTCTACTTCCGAACACTATAAAACACAAAGTATCCCTATACGTCTTATTGATCATAAAAATACCTACCGAACAAGCATTTGTACACACTCACAAACAGGAAGGTTACATTTCAGGCGTGCTTATACACAGAGTGGAATATTCTTCCTACAAATTATGAAGATATTTAATTTAAATTTAGCTTATCTATACACAGAGGTTTTACTTGCAAGGTGGTCTGGTTTAGGTGGCAATACGATGCTTGATTTCTAACGATTATAAACATTTTAGGTACGACATATCTGTTTTTGCTCCTGAAATATGATACCCATATCCCTACTTTAATTAGTATTCACATAAATATTTTAATTAATAATGAAGGTGGAGCATGTGTCTTGCTCTCATCCACATAACACATTTTAATACAAGATTGAGTTGAATTACACCCTGAGAAAGTAATTGCGTATGCCATATATTCTAGTAAAAAAACTAGAGGTAGGTATAGGAATATTTTGTTAATTATAAATAATTCAGGAATATATCTTTAAACTTTAAATGCTCAGACATTTCCATTTTAAGTAGTTCAGCAGAATTACCTATAATAATCTAAAACAATCGATTTACTCAGCGAATTTAATGGCGTAGCCTAATAGACCTAATTGAATCGAAATGAAAAGAAACTCCCATAGAACGAAGGAAAGAGCGAACACGCACGCCAATCGAAGTAGGATTTCCCTTTCTTGCACACAGATCGTGTTCTTAGCGCTTCCTTATGCAGAAAAGTGAAACTGACGCAACTAGAACTCGAAGATCCGAGTTAGCCATGACCCGGTTGCCGCGATGCCGCTGCGGTCATTTCGGATACACAACGCGATGCGATTATGTTTTTTTTTTCATTCGTTGTTTATCACAAATTAATAGTACATGAGTTGAAGAATTAATAAGACTGGTGTCAGATATAGTAGCAGCCCAAGTTTTAACCTGTTTCACTTACTAAAAAATCCTCTCCTGTCTCACTTACTAACCCCTGTATTAACAATTTTGTAACAAATAAACAGGTACCCTTACCCTTTGCACTTTAAATTTAATAAAAATATTATTACGATTGAATATTGTTGTATAAAAATCATTACATTTTTGTTTAAATTGTTGCTAATAAAGCAGCAAGCGGTATTTAAAAATTAAAACAAGGACCACGTACTATTTTTCCTTTATGTAAATGAATTAGTAGTCGCCTGAAACAGTAAATTTGGTTTTTGGTTACGAGGATATCTCGTTTTCACTGGTTTCTTGTTATTGCTATTGCACTTTACGCAATCACTCTTGATTTCAGCGAGTTTTCAATTCCGTTTTTATGTTTTTTTTTTAATAGCAAAAAATATCCTGGAATTTTCTGAAATTCACGTTTCGTTAATACCAAATTCCGAATGTTATTAGTTTACTCCCTAACGATATTTTTATGAAATGCACATATTTAGGTAACCTTTATTTTTTATTAATGGCAAGTTCCTGCTCAGGAAGGACGACGCGCCTGTGGAGGATGTGCCTTGTTTTTATTTGAAATTGCATTCATATATTAAAAGAGACATTTAGCCTAAGGTCTGTTGGAAAAAATAAATAAACACAGGACTCGCGATTGCTGATAAAAAATGCATTTTTTCATTTTCTAAGCTGTGTTTAAGTAAGGATTAGCCACATGTGTAGGTAGATATTATTAAACACTTTTCTATAAATCTATAGGTATCCTTTATCCTGTTATTATATCATTATTTATCAAATCCAGTAGAAAGAATTTAGAAGCTTTTTTATATTACAATAATACTAATAATACCAATTTATTGATTATGACAACATGGACATAATTTTTCATTTGCGCACATGCATTTTAGAAATAATTTCAAAACGCTAATTCACATGTTGCTTTTAGATTGTCCTACATTTTACAAGATTTTATAAAGAAATTATTATAAATTTCCGGTGTCGGTATTTGCCAATAATTTGGGTTTGTTATAATTATGTCTACCACTCCTCGTTGCCAGAGTATTCTATCACTGTTACTGCTACATTTACTTCGCAATACATTTATTTTTTATGCATCAATATTCGATCCGAATTACAAAATTTCGAGGTTTTGTCAGCTGTTGATGTCGCATATGGTTATCGGACTAATTAATTATTACGTAGGTATTTATAATATTAAGGTTAGAATCTTAGTTAATACACATGTGCACGTGGATGAGCTGCTTCGATACATTCTATTCTATTTACTTCATTTGATCTCCTACTCAAAAAAGCACAAATCTTTAGATACCTTAATAATTAAACTACTTGTAACTAAATATGGTGAGATTTATTTTAATTCAACCTAATTCATTAATAGAATGTTATGTAAATTCCGATTTGATATTGGCATCGTTCTTTTTAGTATATAAGTACCAGAAACCGGTACCAATTCATAATTCTTGTACTGACATTATACACACCTTTCGGTAGAATTGGGTTTGCGTTGAGTCATTATTATTGAAATACATAATTTGTAAATGGTTTTGACAAGGCGGATCCAAACTATTGGACTTGATCAGAACATTTAAAAAAAATACGTTTTTTAATTATTTACTGTCGATATAAGTCGATATAAGTCGAGTAGTACTGGAGA